GCTCTCTCCAGCTTGAGGGGTCAGGGACAGAAGGGCGATGCGCACTAACACGCGCGGTGGCGGAGCCAACGGTCCCCGCGCTGTCCAGCTTGGGGACCTGCGTGGCGTGGGAGCACACCCCCACTCAGCGTTTGTGGCCACAAAGCGGCTGGGTTCGCGGGGCCGAGAAGACAAATGAATGTTTCACTGCATTCTCCATTAAACAATAAAGCGAGCTGTAAAGGCTCAGGTGCTGTGTTTGTTGTGCCGTCTGCGCAGTGCGGTGGCTCCCGGCCCGGGAGAGCTGAGTGCAGTGGGCCGGGGAGCGCCTCTTGGGCTGATCCCAGGGAAAGATAAGGAGCCGCCGAGCCACCAGCTCTGTCTAGACTCGCGACCTCACAAGTCAAGCGCCTTGTTTGGATTAGCCCTCCAGATCTGCCAACCTGATCAACTCCTGAAAGAGAAGGGCCCAGAAACACCCTTTTTTCCTCTCCCGGACCACGACGATTGTCCCTTCTTTAAGGGATCAAGGGCTGGCTTGCCCGCGGGAGTGGCGGGGCTGGTTAGACCAGTGTGAGGATCCCCCGTTGCCGGCACTCTCCCCCCATCTCGAGTGCAGACAGCCACTGCCCCGCCCGCCGAACGTGGGAAACGTACGCGGCGGGAATACCACCAGCCCAACCCGCAGAATTAAGTAGCCAACTCAAGTCACATCCAGAGATATCATCCCTCCCAAATCAACACGAACTTTTTGATCAATACAAGAGAAAAAAAAAAAGGATCCTAGAGAAGAAACAGGCAGCTCTCGGGCCAAGCGGACTTTTCCACTGAATTCGGAAAGGGTGGATCACTCTTTCCTCCCCACCTGACGCAAAACAATTTAGACCACATCTTTCTCCCCAATCCCTGCGCCTCCTTTGGGGGAGGGTCGTTATTGCCTTTTTAAAGAGCTCACTTGTTTTGCAGAGGAATAATTAAGCGGAAAGATATGCAAAATGATTATTTAAAAAAAAAAAACATAGAATCAAGGTGTCTTCGGTACAGTTCGGGGAAGAGAGTGGCCTCCTCAAGGCTCAGAAACTGGCTTCGTGGACCCAACAGTTTAAGCATCATAAAAATTAAAGGAAGTGATAGCAGCGGCGCTCGCGGCACTCGGCAGCCTTCCCTGCCGCCCCTCCCCCTCCTTCACTCCCTGTGAACCAACTTCTCTGTCTACACTTCAGAAGTCTCCGGGAGGTGTGGAGAGATCCTCCATCAGGGCTTGGGACATTGTAAGCTGTGAAGTTTATGTTTGTGGCGCCTGGGCTCAAACAGCCATTCAGTGGCTTGCTGGGTTATCAAGAAAACAACAATCAGAAAAGATCAGTAAACAGAATCGGCTGCCAGAGCCTTGAATTAACTATTTGTATTTTAGTTTAAAATCACCGACTCACACTGTACAAGTTATTTCAAATCCGCAACGAGAATTCAAGATTTGGGACCATTTTCTAAAGCAACACCTTTTAAATAAAGACACAGAAACAATCCCTTTTCTCTTTCTTCCAGCACCCCCCAAAAAATTCCACTTGCCTTGTTGTGATATAATCTTTAACTGTTGACTAGCAGAGAGAAAGTAAGTAGTTTTTAATAAAATTAATGCCTAAATTTGATTATAAATCTCCTATACAAAGTTGACTAAACTGAACTTCACAAATCAAAAAAATAAGTGTTTTCTGGTTAGTTTGCTTTTATTAGGGATGAGATTAAAAATTCAAAGTGGCTAGAGGTCATTCAAACATCTCTTTGTGGGGTTTGGAATGAGATTGTAAACTTTTTTACTTCTTTACTGAGAAAAAAGGAAAATCATAAATAAATCTACATGGTATTTAAAATAGCTACATTTCAAGGAGATAGATCTTTTTTTGTGGCTTAAAAATTCAAGGTGCTAAGGAAGTACAAAGTATGACTCAGATAAGTTGCAAGCACATTGTGTTTTGGCTGACAGTTAAAAGAATAAAACAGACCAGAAAAGAGGTCAGCAAGATGAGTAAAACAATTTGATTAGGGTAAACAGCAGGAGAGCATCAGAAAGTCACGTATTTAATCTTGAACTCAAAAAAAAAAAAGTTACAGTGGTCAACTGGGTACACACATCCATGCAGAATCACAACTAAGCAGAATGTCATTTCAAGGGTGGAAAAATGTTCTCAAATATGACTTTTACTTTAAAAAGAGCTCTTTTCTTTTTAAAAAAATAATTATTAGTTGCAAATGGGTCTTTTATTTATTTATTTATTTATATGGGTGCTGAAGGGCCTCACACATACCAGGCAAGTGCTTTACCACCGATTCACAACTCCAGCCCAAAACAGAACTTTTTAATGGTAAGAAAAACCAGTTTCCTCCAATGAAAGGGGAAAAGTGAGACAATAGAATGAATTAGAAGATGTTATTGCTCTGAAACTAAAGGGAAATATCTTGTCTTTAGGATTATAGATACTGATATAAAACCCTAATTCCAAGGGAGCATCCAAGATGATTTTAACTGCCTTAAATTTTAGCTTGCAGAAGCTGGAGGAAATGAGTCATAATGTCGAGAAGGAAGGATTCGGAGTAATAAAGGAGAAAAGATGATAGATAATAATAAACAGAAGGAATTTCATTAGAAGAGCAAATCTTGAAACTCAGTCTCCAGAGGTGTGCAGAGAAGAGGAGAATATGTGCAAGAGATGATTTGCAAACAAGAAGACATTTCAGCTACACAATTTAGAGTGCATGCTGAGGAGTCTAGAAGAGGAAGACACACCTTTCATATGAATAATACAAGAACTAGAATGCTATCGACCCATCAAGCCATTCTCAGTCATCAGGCAACAAATATCTTGAATCTAGCAAGTGAAACCAAATCATTCATCACCCCCTCCTAAATTACTTTGCTTAAATTCAAGCTGTGTACTTCAGAATAGACTGACATCTATAGATATAAAACATCACACACTGCACGGGCATACCTTTAATCTTAGAAATCAATGCCAGGAGAAAAAAAAAAGACCACAAAGATGTGTACCTCAAATCCTTCCATTGCATTCAGAATCTAAATAAAGTTGTTTTTTCCCCCCCCCAATTTCTAGATCCTGGGAGCCCATCAGAGGCTATGGCTAGGGAAGGAGGTTCAATGGTTTCCACCTGGGGCTTGGATGATCTTTGTGAGCATGCCACGATATTTATGTCGTACCTGCCACCCTTACACAGGCTTATTAGCCATGCCGGCTTCGCGGTGAGAAAAAAAAAAAAAAGAAAACCGAAAAGGCAGACCAATAGATATATCAAACAGGAAGCTAAAAGAGTCAAGTCCGGTGACAAGAGATTAGAAGAGGGAGACAGGAGAGAAAAAGAAAGAATGGGGCGGGTGGCTTTCCCCGGAGAAGATTCCTGTGAGATAAGACATAACTCTTGTTTTTCTCAACAGAGGACTACAAGCCATTATTACCGCCGGCCAAATTATTACCCCCCTGTCAAGAATTAGACACAACAATCAAAGTAATCAACGGGCATGTCTAATGCACTGTAACATTTTCAATGCAAAGTTTGTTTTCTCTCTGCCCCCACGTTAGAGCCTGTAATTAACCCGTTATGTAGAATGATGCCAAACAAAAGCCTAATTGAGGCTCCTTCCTGATTTGCGGCCGATTTGGAGAGGGTGAAAGCGACTTGAGAGCTGGGGGGCCGGGGCGCTCGCTGAGTCTCCAGCTTGGCCTCCGCCCTGATCCTTGTCAGGAACCCAACGCGCCACAACACACGATTAGGGTACGTTAGTTTTCGTATTTATTAAGAGTTGTCAGATACTGAAAATGGCTTTGCATTCGCGCATACAAATGAATTTAGTTTTTGCAAAGAGTCAAAGTATCATTCTCACCCTGGGGTGTGGTACGGAGGTGGGGGGGGGGGCGGGCAGCATAAGGAGGGAGAACAGAATGGAGCCCACGTCCTAACTCTTCAGTCCTCAAATGGAGAAGCACGGAGAATTCCAATTTGGGCAGTGCCATTTATCTATCACTGGATTCTGCCAGAAAGGAACTATTGCTAAATGAGGTCCAGTGGGAGTAGTGGGGGTTCTGTCCCAAAGAGCACAAGCACCTAACCATGGCCCATGGGGGCCCACAAAGCCCAGGACCCCGTCTCCCCTCTCCATAAAAGACGGTTCTCCAACAGAATGTCTGCAGCATTTCTCCCCTGGCCACCCTCTCTCTCCATCAGCTACCCTTTCCAGGGTTTTTGAAATTGAAGTTAGGGAGGAAGGGGTGATGGGGGTGGGTAAGGCAGTGAGGTAAGAAAATGCATACACCGACTGGGCTGAGAAAACTCTTTTCTCTCTCTGCCTGTTCCTTCTGCGCAAATAAAGCGGCATTTCTCCATTCTGCTGACAGTCACCACTAGTAAATAATGGTCATTCCTCACTGACTAGGCAGAAAGTCTCTCTCTTAGCAAGAGATTATATTTGGAAATATGGATCATTTCAACAATCCTAAGCAGGAGCCTTTGGTGTAAAGCACTTACTTTAAGAAAATAAGATAGTAACTCCAAATCAAAAACTATTTTAAGCAGGACCCTCTTGCGGGGTGTGTGGATGGATGGGGAAGGGAAGGGGGAAAAAACAGGAGGAAAAAAGGTAGGGGGAGAACAGAGGACAGCATATCATTTTCACAAAACCAGTAACATTATCACCACTGAGAGCTAAGGGCTTCTTCCAATCAACTTTGATCCAACTACTGAAATCCAAACTTGCAAACTCAACCTTAACAGCTTGCAATACAATATCACACCTACTGTATATCAGTTTACCCCAATCCAACATGCAATCCTTAATTTCAGACATTTAAAAAGCTTGCTAATAAACATATAAAAGAGGGACCCTGAATCATTGCATTTATTTATTTATCTATGCCAAACGTTTATTAGTGAAATAGTCCTGAAGATATAATTCTACATATGGCGCTTTGATTTCACATAATATTTAAGAAAAAAAGACAAAACACATAGAATTAGACATATAATTCAAAGACCACGATACAACCTTTATCTTTTTTTTTACTTCAGCAAACAAAAAAATAATGTCAAATGACATGAAAAGTGGCAAGTCTTCTGACAATAAATAATAAATTACTTTATAATTTTTGCAATGCAAGAGCAAACAAAAAAAAGTTTCCTTTTTCCTCTTTATTTCCAGAGAGAGAAAAAAAACAGTCATTTTAACCAATAACTATACACATCTTTGGGGGTAAAGTTCTTGGACAGACACAAGTCAAACACAATCCCGAGACGCTTGTGGCAAAATAGAGGTAACCTTGTTGCAATGCTTTATAAGTTGGTTTTTAAAACTGAATTTAAAAACCTTTAAAGTCGCTTCAGACTTCTTGATAGAGGATGGATCTCAAAAAAAAAAAAAGGAGAGAGGGACAAAAGTAAAAAGGAAACCAGCTATAGGACATGCTAAGAGACCCAGGATTTCAATTAACCCCTTTTTAGTCAACTAAAAACATCGCAAACCAATGCAGCTCCACCTTCCTGAAAGGACTCTTTCCAGCCAAGGAGGCCAGTCTCTCTTCCTGATCTTTGCTGGAGCTCTTGTTTGGCAAGGCAATGACCAATATAGAAACAGCACCATTCAGATTAGGACGGACTAGAAAATTTTCTATTTCTGCTTTTTTTTTTTCTAGATGTGCAGTGAAATTAAAATGCTTTTTTTTGAGATCCTTGAATAAAAATCCTCTACGTTTTAAAAACGTCTTTTTTTTTTCTTCAGTACTCCTAAGGTCATTGAATAGCGTATGTTGGGTTTTAGGTTTTGTTTGTTTTAATTCTAGTAAAATCCCATGATTGTCTTCACAGTGTTGCTACCATATCACCTTGTCGTTAAAACAGACTTCGTGCATTTCATGGAGCATTCGTTTCTTGATTCAGTTTTCATTGACTGGGTCGTTAAATACTTTAGTTTCGGAGTTCAACATTATAATTTCCCACTTTCTCCAACAGGGAAAAAAAATACATCTGAATGAATGTTCCTCATGCCTCAATAGGACTGGCTACCATGCTGTTAGGTGTATCTGGGAGTTGAGAGGACATCGATGCTACTTCACTGCCAGTGGAATTAGAGCCTGGTCCTCCTTCTGAAAAATTGACCTGCATGGAAGGTTGAGAAATAAATAAAGTAGGCTGTAATTGTATTCAAAGAGTAAACTCGACGTACTGTGTATGTATGTACAGATGTTTTGTAAACAGATGGACATGTAGATACATACATAATTTTAACATGCTTATAGAAAGCCTATGACGAAGAGAAGTCAAAAAGGAATCCTCTCAGTTTCCCATCTTCTTAAAGATCTGTTTTAACTCAAACTGAATTCCCAATTCCCAACATTATGTTGCATTAAATTATTTAAGAACAAATGTGTTTCCCACTGTAAAATGGTATCACAACTCTAACCATGCTTGCTCTAAATAAAATTATCCTGCTGGCAACATGTTGCCCTGGGAGCAGGCGAGTTCTCAGTCTCTAGGCATCAAAGCCTCTCTTTTTGAGTTAGAAAATCCATAACACACGCTCAGATCAAGTGACGGGAGATTCAGCGAAGGCTCCATGAACAATGATTAACTCCTTAGAGGACTCACAGTATGGGTTTTCTTCCTCTGTCCTGCTGCTTCTCTGCTTCTTGCTCTCTCTTGCATTTTTCCTCCCTCCTCCTTTGCTCCCTATTTCTCCCCCACCTCTCTTCTTTCACAGAGGAGATCCATATATTATAACATCCTCATATTATAAATATCCGGCTTTTCCTTTTAAATGAAAAAGCACTGCATTACTGTTGAAAATCTCCTTAGCTGACCACATCCTGATCCCTTCCTCAGCTTCCCCTCTACTGCTCCTACCTGACGCTAAAGTTTCAGAAGGTACAAACATCTGGCTGTCCAAAATCTGCCCTTTACCTTCTTTTGTGATTCAGGTTTTTATTCAAACAAATTATCAGATTAATAACTTTAACTTAAGCTCTTTTCTAGTTTGAGAATCTACTTACCTTCCTTCCTACTCTGTTAAACTTTTCCATTGTGAGGTCAATGGATGAACTTCTCAAATTTGCCTACCCTTTGCTTGGGGCACTTAGAGACACAGGCCTGGGGCCAACCACTTGCCTCCAGACCTTTACTCACAGTTTACACCAGGGAAGCAAATGCCCTCTGGGTAAACAGGAGGGTGGAAAAACTGTCCTCTCCTAATGCTTTATCTTTACTGCTCTAGGAAGGATCATGCTTTTAGGATAGAGCTTCATGTTCTATAAGACAGGATTTTATAGGGTTAATGACACTTTAAGAAAAAAATTATAAGCCAGATGCAGTGGCACATGTCTATAATTCCAATAACTTGGGAGGCTGAGGCAGGAGAATCACAAGTTGGAGACTAGCCTCAGTAACTTACCAAGACCCTTAGCCACCAGTGAGACTGTTTCAAAATAAAAACAAAAAGAACTGGGGATTACTTGGTGGTAAAAAGAAAAGAAAAGGATTGTTAAGTATATATAAATACCATATTACAAAGGACACATAATTAATACTTATATTTATCTTGGCCTTTCGGAGGTTAAAAAGGGGGAAATAATTATCCTTTCTGAATGTGTAAAACATATTAATGTAAAATGGGTTTCCCAGGATTAAATAAGCACTCTGATTGTTAGAGCTATGTCCCTTTTCCTATATAAATGCCACCACAGTATATGACTATATGACACTTGAATTTATATACTTAAAAAACGTTTAAGTAGTCTTTTGTATGTGCAATATAGCATTGTATAGCATTGTATATTACAATATTCCCAGAAAGGGATACAGTAACAAAAAGTGTTGATCAACTACTTGAACTAATTCAATTAATTAATAAATCTCTATACTGATAAATCTGAAAATTGTACCTAGACAGGTGCCTGCTGCTTATTGATAACAACATTGATTATGTATTATAACACTGCATATGTATTACAATCACTTTGAATTGGGCCCCGGAATATCCCATTCTCTAGATGTTGAAGAGAGAATAAACATGCTGATTGTTGATTCAAATGCTAAGGTGATCTCTAAAGTTCCTGAAAATTCTAAAAGTCTAAGGTGTTTAATTTTGCAGCCCTTATGCATCTCCTTTCACACAAGTCATCTAGTTGAGTACCTTGAAGTTAATCCCAAAAAGCATGTCTGATAAAAAAAAAAAAATTCAACCTATGGAATCAAATTTCCCAGTCTCATGAAAAAAAAAAAAGAGAGAGAGAGAAAAAGAGAGGCTTGTTTTCCTCACATTTGCCCCACTCCCTTCTCTTTACCACCATGCCTCCTCAGTCTCTCCCCAACCTGGGGTCAGGGAGTACCCTCCCCCAGAATCTTTCAGTATATGACAGTTAAACCAGAATCCCTTTTCTGTTGGGAATTTGCCCTTCTCTTTCTGTGAGCTGACACTTACCAGTTGCTGAAAAGCAGGCTGATCTATGTCACTCTGCAAGGCGAAGTCGCTCAGTACTTTCCAAGGCGGCTGGTAACTTTGCACCTCAACTGGGTTAGCCTGTAAGCCACCGTCGTGCCTCTCTGGACTGGCAGCTACCATGGGAGTTCCTGTCATCCCCTGGATATTCTGTGAATAACCCCCCCATCCCAACATGTTAATGAGCAAACTCCCTCCCTCCATTGTCTGCACAGGCTAAGCAAATATACCTGGGTATTATCTTATCTCTATGGTGGCCCTTTATTGATTCAGTTAATCTGCTGCACCTATGGATATATGCTGGAGTTCAGTTTTGTTTTTCTACTTCTGTAGTCTATATTAGGTCTACATAGACCTTTTTAAAACAAATTCTACTTTGACTGTGATTTTTCCCTTACCTTTGCAGCTGATCCCCAATTCCAACTATGGGCTTTCACGAGCCATAATTTCCCCCCTCTGCCTCAGGACATGGTGGTTTTCTGGGCAGTTTTAGTTAGTTGCAGACTTTCTCCAAGCGGTTTTCTCCTCCCAGAGCTAGCCCCCACTCCCAAGTCTTTGGATCTGGCAGCTATTGTGCTATTATGTACTAACCAACTTACAAAGTACCCTGGCCCAGTCTCGGCTGGCCTGCCAAGTTTAATGACAGCAGGTTTTATGGCATTTAAAAATAGGGCAAGCAGTAAAATGAAAGGGGGAAAAAAAGGAAAGAAAGAAACTCTTTAGCTTAACTTAACCAGGAAGCCTGCAGTGGGGTGCTGCCCTGGATAACAGTGCCAGTGGCCTGACGCCTTTGTGGAGGCCTGGGCTCTACCAAGGGTGAAGGGTGGAGGAGGAGATCACCCAGGGGGACCTCCCCAGCCTAGAAGTGCATGGGCAAGTCTCATCAAGTAGTGGGGGAGGCCCTGGAGACTGGCAACATGACTAGTCCCCAAGCCCCAGGATCTAGACTAACACCCAAGGTGTTACTCATTGTGAGAAATTGACAGTCCCCAATGCTCATTGTCACCTACCCTTGGAGGGGGCAATTGAGTCCTTCAGGTTCACATGCTGGTAAGGTTCAGAGCCTGAGCCCACCCATAGGGAGGTGAGCTCCTATCACTTTGATAAGTGCCTTTCTAATCTATCCAGTGCTCAGATCAGCACAGGCTGGGCATCAGGGTGGCCTCCCCCAGCCATTTTGATCCATACTTTGTTGGGGCTGGGGATAGGAGGGCCACCCCATTGCACTTCAGCTGGTGCAGGCTAGACTGGACACACAAAGGCTCTGCATTTCCTCCTTCCCCTTTACACTTGAGTCCCCTGCCTGGGCCCCAGGGCCACTCACAGTTTTGTCATTGGGTTGCTGCTGCTGTAGCTGCTTCATCATGATGCTCCGCTTCTTATCCTTGCACCGCTTGTTTTGAAACCAGACTCGGATCACGCGGGGGCTGAGGCCTGTCATCTCCACTAGTTGCTCCTTCATGAGTGCATCAGGCCGGGGGTTGGCAGCATAGCAGGTCCGCAAGGTGTGCAGCTGCTTCTCATTCAGCACAGTCCGCACACGGGTGGTCTTCTCTGGCTGCTTGTGGACATGGGGCCGCAGGGCTGGCTGCCGGGCAGAGATAGGCTCCGCTGCGGGGCAAGGGGCACCATGAGCACAGTCCAGGCTACTAGCTCACCAGCCAGTTAGACCAGGCCTCTCAGGACTATAAGTAGAGCTTTGGGGACAGCAGAGGTGGTGGTGAGAAATGTGCAAAGCAGAATAAAATCTCGATCCTGCTCTGTAATCTACAAGGGTTAATGCTGAGTAATACAGGTCTGAACACAGCCCTTGCTCCTGTTCATATCAACACAGCCTTAGCCAAGGAAAGGGCTGCTCAGGATGGTTCCCCCAGCTCACATCAGAGACAATATTTTAAGTGTTCTTTTTCCTCCTTCCTCCCTAATTCCCCATATCCAGAATGGGCTCTGATTACAACAAGCACCCCCACCTCCATACTGGGAGTTTCCTCTTGGGTAAAGGCCACAGAGGGTACTAGGGAAGGAAATGCAGAACATCCCAATGACAGCTAGAATGTCTGCAAAAGGAAGGTCCAGAATTCTGCTAGAAAGCCTTGGACTATAGTCCCAGAAGACAGTCCTTTTAATGGTCTTAAAAAAAAATCCCATATTTCTCCCATCTCTCCATTCCTTGGTCATTTTAGTACTGAATCAACATGGGTTGGGCAGGAAAGGAGGCCCTACCCTCAGCAAAGGAAAACTGAAACTCTATTGAGCTGCTTCCATTAGAGATAAACTACTGACTAGGAAATGATGTGCTTCCACATCCAACCCCCAATATTTTGGGCTCTTCTGTATTTCCCACCCTTGGCTTTGCCTTTATACAAGCTATTCACAAATCCCTAGAGAAAGAATTCTTAAGAGCTGCTAGTAAGGGGCCAGCTGCGGGTGGGAGGGAAGAGCTGTCTTTTCCTCACCTCTAATATATGGGAACTGATACTTTAAAACTACATGGTGTGGGGGAGGGGCAGGGGTTGCAAATCTATTCAGAACTAAAGTTAGGTACTGAAACAGTGCCTCACCAGAGTCTTGATACTGGCCAATTTTGCTCTGTTTCCACTTTCCTTTACAGGGAACTGGCCTTCTGATCTATATGGTAGAAATCCTGCACCTTCTAAGATCCCCTGGGGTCAGTCCAACACCTATGGGGTCAATTTGGAGCTACAGCAACAGGCTTGAAGATGAAATTCTCATGGAATCATATAGAATGAGAATGAATGGCTTAAAGAGTCAGGCTTCCTTTAAAATTCAATTACTGCAGATTAGCTTGTTGACAGTTTTAAATTACAGCTCTGCACAGTGGCCTGCAGTTATTAAGACCTTCACTTTTCTGGGCCAATTCTCCTACAAAATGATAAAATAAAATCTAAAAATGTTTTAGAGTGGGGAGTAATTCTCAAGGAAAAATATATTTGGTAGGATAAATGACTTAGGGCCATCTAAGCGTCCTTCATTGAGCTAAAGGAAGCTCCTGGAATCTAGAACTCCACCCCTTTAATTAGGCAGCTCAGAGAATACCTGGCGGGGAGCTGAAGCCCTTTTCAGAAAGCTATGGTTTGGAAGCCAAGGTAAGCTGACAGTACTGTTTGGGCTTGTGTATACATGTGAGCACAAGCGGTATTGTGTGTACCCATATATAGACACACAGACTTGTAGGTGTGGTTGCGGCGTCAAGGCAGACAGTGTGTGCATTGAACCTTGCTGCAAAAGAGCAGAACACATATAACACTTCATTTAACTGCAGGTCTGATGTCGCGATCACCCTGTGGCTACCAGGGTTGCTACATCCAGTGCCTCTGCCTCCCCAAGCTGGGTCTGACTCAGGGCGGAGGAGTACCTGCCATTTGCAGCGGCCGTGCTGGATGCAAGGGACTGAGAGGGTCGCCGGCACCCAAGCTGGCTCTCTCCACCACATCGTGGTCCGCGCGGCAGAAGAGCCCATCTTCCCGCAGCGCAAACTCGTCCCCGGGAATGAGCTGGCGGCTGCAGGCCACGCAGCGGAAACACTCGATGTGGTACACCTTGGAGCGGGCGCGCATCACGAAGTCGTTCTTACTGAAGCCGATGCTGCACTTGGCGCATTTGATTCCGTACAACCTGCGTAGGGGTCCAGCCGGGGACAGGAGACAAGCACAAGGAGAGGGGGTCACTTCAGGCAGGTACTGCCCTGGCCCAAGATCTTCAGTGATCCCAGCTGTAAGCCCCCGAGATGCCCAGAAAAAAAATCAGTTTACCGAACAGAAGCAAGGAAACGGGAGGATAGAAATGAAACCTTTCTCTCCATTCCCTCCATCTCTTTCCTTCTCCTTCTTCCTCTCCTTTTTCCTTTCCCTTTTTATCTCAGTTGGTACCTCTTAGTTCAGAATACTCCACCCCAAACAAGGGAAATTCATTCATGGATTCAAAACCTTTGTCGCTGTTCTTGCGACCAGTCCCAAGGTTCTCCTTGTAGATCTTAGCGGGAAGGAATTCAGGGGTACTCTGGTGACCAGTACTCCTCCACTTTTGTTTTCTTATTTCTCAATTTTAGTGGCTAGAAATATTTCTGATATTGCAACAAAAAAGGGGACCGGGGAATGGGATTGCCACTGCACTTCATATGTGCACACATACAAATACACACAGAGAATAACAAAATGAAACCTCTGGGGGTTTCCAGGTCCCCTCTTTTAAGGCTAGTACATTCAAATCTTTATCCCACCAAAGATTTTCCATAGGTAACAACAATGTTATTGAAAAGTTCCCTCTCCATTCTTTCTTTTATTATTATATTAAAAATCTGCATCTCCTCTCTCTTTTTCAAGTTGTGGAAGCATCTACATCTATTTCAGTTTCCTTGAAAGCCATGACCAGTCTAAAAAAAATAGGAAAGACTCACTTCTGAGGTCTTCCTCATTGCTTTCTTTTCCTTACCAAGGGACAATCCTTATAGGTTCTACCTAAGGTTGCACTGCCTGGCCCTCTTAGTGACTATCAGAATAACAGAAGCCCAGCCGTTCCTTCAGAGAGAATGAAAGAAAGAGAAAAAGATGCACACAAAGCATGGGGAGATTTTGAAAAATTTGAAATCCAAATGGTCTGTCTGCTTTGTTTTTACAACTGCAGTATTTCCAAGGGCAAGTGCACACACACACAAACACAGAGTTACAGAGTGGAGGAAAGTAAAAGAGCAATTGGGTTCTTCTACAATTGTATGTATCCAGAATTAGGAACGTGCAGGTCTGTGCAATTGAGCAAAACAGTATCTCCATAGGAGTAAAGATGTTCTTGGAGATGTCAAGTAACTCTCCAGAATCTTGAGTTTACATGCCAATCGAAGAAGAAAGAAAGACAAAAAAGGGGAAAGAAAAAAGAAAACAGCTCATTTGTTAAAGGTTAGAGGTAGATTCAAAAGTTTTCCTCCCTCCGCCTACCCAATGTGAGATCTTCCATTTTATAGGATGAGGACTTTGCCTATGACCAAACAATTTAGAAAATCCCTCCCCCTTCCTGTACCCCACTTCCCCTACTTCCTCCCACTATCCCCCTAAGTATTAAAAAAACCTCCCTTCGTGTACAGTTCAATTTTATCTATCAAAATTATACTCTCTGCTTCACAATTTTAAAAAGGAGAAAAAATATTGGATATTATGTGAACAGAAGAAAATTGTGATTGTGTATTAAATCTTAATTAAACTTCAACAAAAGTTCTCAAGCTCCAAAACCCTCCAACTTACAAAATCTAATTATGTGTTAATAGCAACTGGAGAATTTTTTAAAATACCACTTAACATAATAGCAATGATAATCTCTTCTGTTTGTTATTAAAATTAATACAGTTTTCTTAGAAATTGTACTGGTTTCCTAAGGGAGAAAACAAAGTTTCTGACATCTACACAGGTCCAAGAAAACTTGAGACTAGCAAAGCCCCATGTAGAGTAAACTGAAAGAACAATAACAACAACAAAATCAAACTCAGAAAGTTCCTATGTAGTTGCAGTTGTGTCAGTATGGGCAAATCACTAATTTTATCACTTACTAGATTTTAATGTGAGAAAGGAAGCTGTTCAATTATCTAAATATACCAATTGTTCCTAGACAGATGATGGGCAATTTGATCTGCTCTGTCTAATTCATCAGCTCAGATAAGATAAGAAAGAAAAGACAGTCAAATGTCACCAAAGGGTTAATATTTAAAAAGATTAAATTTCCGGTGTTTTTGCAAGGAATATTTCAGTTGGTTTTGAAATTTTCCAGGAAAGAATTCTTACCCTAAAAGTAAAAGGGGCAATATGTCTACTTGCTCTTTCAAAATTCATCTCCAAACATGCTTCAAACTTTTATCTATTTCAGTGACACCTCCAGTGAATTTTTAAGTTACTAATAAAACAGGAGTAAAGTAAACAAATAACACTGTTTTATACAGTGAAAATCAACCATATTTTAAAGTTTAGAAACTCAAACTTATCAATCTTTAAAGTTTTTATTTGTTTTGGAAGGGGAAGACAAAAGGAGGAAATAATTTGAGCATCACAAATTCCAAGAGTAATTTACTTAATACCACACAATTTATGACACCACTGTGAAGGGCTTTATCCCCCCTAAAAAGTGAAATGAAGAGCGTATCTTAAATTTTTAAAATACACTTGGACAACTTTTGCATGCTACACTCCATTAAGGCAAACTTCCCCAAAAGACAAAGCCATACCAAACAACACAAACAAGAAATGGGGAGAGACAGAGAAATCTCACACAATTAAGAAAGAAGGATAATGGCATACCTGATATAATCTCTTTTACAGTAGGTTTTCCCATCCCTAACAAAGCACGTACAGCTCTCGTCCAAATACTGATTACACTCTGCACATTTCAAACATGCCGCATGCCATTCCAAATCCGGAGAAACCCTCAGAATATACTGATCGTGAATTTGATTGCCGCAACCAACACATAGGGAAATCAGACGTTTTTCTGAAATGAAAATAAATACATGATTGACTAACCGTTTACTTCCTACAGAGATAAACACACTTTTAGTGTCGTTCTCTTATAGGGCGTACTCTGGGAGGTTTTTTCTCCCCCCCCACCCCTTTTTAAGAGTATTGCACTTTGGGATGGTAATTGAAGTGTGCCATCAAAATCTTGACTCGTTTTTTAAAAGGAGGTGGAATATATGTAAAATGCAGATTTGAATAGTCTACATTTGTAAGCCTAGCACGCAATCAAACCCGCTCATTTTGTATTTTCCCCCTCCTACCTCTTTGCTATAATCATTGGGAAAGATTATGGATAAGTCAAGTCAAAGAAAAGGTTTTGACTAGAAGCGTTAAGTGAACGCAGGGATGTCTATATTTTCCATGAAGCACGCTCTTAAACAGCACATAGGACTGGATATTGTTAGCAATAGCAGACATCAATACAGTTGTCACTCGTTCTCTTTTGCAAGTCTAATGCTAATTCGTATCTCCGGAATATTGTATGTGCGGCAGACCTTTGCAACATAATAACCTTCTCCTAGAGCTCAGAATTCCAAAGGAGGAAATCATCGCTTAGCACCAGAAGACTAGGCTTTGGGAGGAGGGCACACAGAATTCAAACACAAGGTACAATCAGTTTCCCGAAGATCAGAACCAACAGCAAGCATGCAGGCGGCAACAAGAAAAAAGCCACCTTTTCTTTCTCTCCAGGCAATGACTTCAACTCCGAAGAGCCCTTTGCACCCGTGCCTAAGAGATACCCCCGCATAAGAACAGCAAACCGAGCCCCACAAGGTAAAATAGCCTCTTACTTTTTGGTGGATCTCCCATGTCTCCCATATCTGTGAGAGGGAGTAATGTCCACAGTGAAATGGTGGTTGTACAGTTGGTGAACAGCCCACAGAGAGGATGCTGGAGCTGTGGCTAAGTGGGAAATAGTGGCCCCTGGGGTTGCCAAAGCTGAGAGAGCCGCTGCCCGGCTGCGCCGCGCCCTCGCAGATCCGGGAGTCCACTTTAAGCCCGCGGAGTTGGCGAAGCAGAGGCGCTGCGGCGGCGGCGGACTCGGCGCGGCTCGGGCACCTCTCTTCCTTATCTCTTACTCAAACTTCTCTGCTCCAACTCAGCTCCATCGCCATTGGTCTGACGCAGCGCGCGGGGACGTCAGGCGAGCGCCGCGCCCATTGGCTGCGGGGCGCGCGGCGCAGCTGTTCTGATTATCATATTTCAGCCTTGCCACTGCCGAGTGCCACTGACCGCTCGGCGAGCCCGCGGGAGAGGATTAGGGCTCCCGAGGCAACTTGCTCCGGGCTCAGGCTGTTCTCCCCCGATGCTCAGGCTGCCTGGCTGCTCGGCTGCTCTGGCTTTTGGCCTCCCTTTCCTCCTCCTCCTCCTCCTCCTGCCCCTCCCTGCTCCTTCCCGGCTGCTCCGCCTGCGCGCTCGCCTCCCGTCGCGCTGCTCCTCCGCCCTGCGCTCCTGGGGTCCCCACAGTCAGCTGGCTGCGTTGAGCGCGGGGCTCACTTTTCTGCCGCCGGTGGCGAGTGGCTGGTGGGTAGGTCTTCGTGTTGACGAAGTCCCTCCTGGGCTCTAGGAAAAGGGGGAACTTGGAACAGTCTGTTTAGCTTGGTTGGTCCCACGCTGCAGCGCACAGCCCAGGGCCTGGCGCGTCTTTACTGCCTGAACTCCCGAACTGGCTGCCCAAGGCTTGCTAGGGAAAGAAGAAGAGGGAATGGGTGCTTAGACCCAGAGGAATTGCTCGCTGACTGCTACCCCGTTACCTCATCACCCCGACCTCAGAACTCCAAAAACGTGGGGTGGGAGGAAAGGGGCTCTTCTGGCCATAGCGGACAATCAGGTTGGAAACGCACAGGTAAAACCAAGTTGACTCCGCGGACTGCCTCTCTCCTTTTGACCCGCGAAGTCTGCTTTTCAGTTTAACTCTAGGACTAAAGTGTGTACTAATCCGAAGCCAACGAGTGAAATGTTCTTCTGGTAGGCTGAAGTAAAGCGGTTATATAATGTCCAGTTTCTCTCTGGTGATCTCTTGCCCTCTGTTTTTAAGCAGACTCGCGCAATTAGCTAGTCCTGCTTTGATAATTATAAAGACAATTCTCCGTACATTTCTAGAGACTTAAAAAACTGTACTAGTCTAAGAGCTCCAGTAGGAAGGAGTCTCTTACAGAAAAACAGTGAAATGCCCATTTCACTGCACTAAGAGTGGATATAATATTTTTCTCTCCGGAAACTACCTGGAGAGAGAGAAGACTGTTGGCTGCATCTCGCCGGTAACTTTTCTCAATAATTTTTTACATGCTCCCATCATCTCTTACAGTTTCCCAAAGACAAAGTCACAGGAAGGCCACGAAGAACTCCCACATTTCCAAAACTTATAAACCGCCATCCCTTATTTAGCGGTACTTTGAATTTTATCTTTAAAAGCCTGCATCATGAGCCGTCAAAGGCTTAATTTCGGTATCTTGAGGCGGCGAGAAGATTCTGTGGGTTAGGAAACTCCTTTCTTTGTATCTTTCACCAGATCTAACCCTTGATAAGACCTGTGAGCTCTCGGATGGCCTCAGTGGCTGGGTTTGAATGGATATGCCTCTACAAAAAGCAGCTAAAATGCGTGAGTTCCCTCCTGATATAGCTGGGACTTTACCAAGAACTGATAATAATATTATTGTCTTATTTATTTTGTTTTCTCTCAAAAAAAGATTTCAAATTTGAGACTTTCTTTTCCATTCTTAGTATGTTAAAAATGACTGGAGTGCGTGTGTGGAATTGAAAGTCAGATTGACATAGGTTGATAAAATTTACCAGTTGTGTTTTGTTTTGTTTTAATCCATGTTTCTAGTCTCTGGTGTATGCATGGAGCCCTTTGTCAAGCTGGTTCTGTAAAGCTGATGGTAGTAATCACTACACTAAGCAAGCCTTCCCAGTATACGGGCGGGCATGTTTCCCTTACAGATAACCAAATTGACCCTAGTAAAAAAGATACCACCATAACACCAGAAAGTAAATAGAAGACTTGAAACAATCATATTCCCTCCTGCCATGTTTATAACATGGAATTAAACACCAGAAACACCCTGGTGAGTTATATTTGAGACCCACAAAACACCTTTACTGCCCACCCTCCTTTCTACACACACACACACACACACAGAGAGAGAGTTGTATTTTAACTCCTTAAACCCATAAGCAATCACAAAGAAATATTGCTGATGATAGCAATTCTAAGTAGAAAATCTGGCATGTGGCTCTGATGAAATCCTGCAGCAATAAGCAGTTTCACTATAATGGTGAAGACAACAGGTTTTCTTTTGCTTAGCCCAAACCATTATTGTCAACCATTATTTTCTTAGTTCCTAAATTAACAGAAGCAAGGATCCATGCATAAGATACTCTCTTCGATGGGACCCAATAATTATGTTGTTCCATGATGAATACGCTCTGGAGATCTATGTGTTTGATAGTACATTTTGCATTAAAATCAAAATTCGGTTGGCAGCATTATTTCACTTTACCTGAAAGTCCTAATGTGATCAGATCCGCATTTCCTTAGTTAATTGCTACATGTAGATTTAGCATACTAAATATATCTGTGAAAATTTTAATGTTTATTAAAATACATAAAACTGATTACATAAAAGTATGATTAGCAATATTTTTCCAGAGTACTTGATCACAGGAGCGACCTCTTGTGTTCAAAGGGGAGATGAGACACTCTCCTGTGGTAATTGGACTCACTTTGACCTTTGTATATCCTGTTAGGTCAAAAATATATCTTTCAAAACATCAGTGGTGTGAATTTCTGGTTTGATCTCCTCTACTGACAAGAGGAAAAGAAGAATAAGTATTTGTGGAGTTTAGTACCAATCACTCCAGGCTGACCCAATGTACCTTATAGTGTCTGGTCTGAATACAACAGAGATGCTGAGAATATGCTCCTCTTGAGTCTGTAGCATTTGCCCACATGCACTTTTACACACCTTCCAAAATGCAGCTGTTACATCCAAGCTTCTAGTGAGCTGTTATGCCTGTTTTTGTGAGCTGTTACTTTCTTCCTCTGCTCTAATTAAAATTAAACATTCTAGATCAGACAATGCCAGATGTGGATTCCTGAACAAACATCATGAAGTCAAGTTACTTTCCAAAATATTTTAAAAGGTTTTAATTGCACTTGAAAAGTAAAGTTATACATTTAGAATTTACTTCTTTCTACCAACTTCTGGCAGATATAAGTGAATTGAAAGTTGTTTTTTTCAGAAATTATGTACTGCGAGAAAGCTTTTTCCTTCCCACCTAAGAAAGACTGGCCCCTAAGAGGGGCTTCGATTAGTTTACTTGATCTATGAATATGGTTGGCAGTTTTTCCCCCCCCTCAGGGAGATGTTGCTCTGTTTAGTCCATACCAGAACTAGATTTGAAAGAGTAGAACAATTAGGCTGCTAGTTTCAATGATTGAGGTATTCAGATGAAAATATATAACTGAAGGACTTTTATATTCTGGTTTTCCACAAATAATTTATTTGGGGTTCAAAATGAAATGTGAACAAATTTATTGAGCTCCAAAAATAGGTATAAAATATAGACACACACACACACACACACGTGTGTATGTGTGTGTGTGTGTGTGTGTGTGTGTGTAACATTTCTCCTTTTCAGTTTTTTCTGTCTCTAATCATGTAAAATAAGGCTATATAGACTGTTGGTATCTTTAATCACCTCCAAGGGTGAGATAAAATTATATGCACTTAAACAGAGTTGGGATTTAACCATTTGTATTCCATGGAGAACAGGATATGGGTGTTTAGAGCTAATTTGCCTCTCTTCCAGTTGTTGTTGGTGGCTTAATGAGAATGGATCAAGAGAATCAGTGCTCTAATTTCAGAGAAAGAGAAGGAATCTCCCTCCATGTACCAAGGGGTATGAAATTATTCTTTTCTTTCCATCGTTTTTTGTACTCTAAAAAAATAAAAAAAACTAAGCAGTGATAATAAAGGCAGCTGTTAACAATAACAAACTTTTAGTCGTGATTCTTATTTTTATCTCCTAGGACTCCTGCTTCGAATGTGGTTTTGTTTCGTGTCAATTGCTTTATTAACCACATAAAACAATCTGGGTGAATTAGCAAAATTTTCTTACGTGCGGAGAGCTTCTTAGCCACGAGTTAAGGCAATTGTTTGGATCACCAGCGTTCCTAGTTTTTTTTGCTTGTTTGTTTATTTGTCTGTTTGTTTTTGTTTTACTGGCAGATGACAGCCTGCAAGGCAGCGTTCCCGTGCGAACCGGTTCGTTGCTTGGTTCTCAGCCTAGATAGCATTGCATGCTCTGGGCAGCGACGACGAAGCCACAAACCTTAGGTCAGTCCGGAACATGCAAGGGTCCACAGCTCCTTCCCGGAAGGAGTTTGGTCAAGCGAGGACAGCAGTTTGCTTCCACCCTTTCGTATTGTGCTTCTGGAAATATTTATTATGACTTCACAAAATCCGCTGAAACCCTTTTCAAATGAAACTCTCCCTGCCCCTCTTCTCCTGAACTAAAACTTCAGGAGCAGACGGTTGTTAACTAAGATCTGAGCGGAGCCCAGGTTGGAACAAGAGTGCAGTGTGCTGACTGAGAGGTCTGACCCAAGGATCATAGAACCCTATATTTAGCAAACCTTTCGTTAAATGAATCGGATTCTCGTGGAGGTATTTGGAGTCGAGAGAGGCAAGGATGCTTTATTTTTCTCCTATGTCCTGAGCGGTTCGGCTGAAATTTATCAGATCTGCGTTAAATCTAGCAAAACACTCACTGTTTCTCCCGAGCTCGTGAAATCCTGAGCAATTAAACTCAGTCTAGTTCATCAAATCAATCAAATCGAGTTGATTATTCTTTCCAAAAGAAGGGACCCTTTCCCCCCAGTGCAGCCTTATCTAAGGGGCAGCTCTGAATTTAATGCCAAGGGATTGTTTCTCTGGCTGGCGGGAGGTTTTTCCCTGATGATGAACGGGGGAGGGGAGACGAAGGTACCTTGGAGGAGGTCAAGAGGGGGAGGAGGAGGAGCAGCAGAAAATTACCAGCCACGCGAAGGAGGGAGCAGGAAGCCCGGAAATCTACCAGGATGCCTCAAGAACATTCCCTAAGTCTTTCAGAATCAGCGCCTTAAAAAAAAAAAAAAAAAAAAACCTCATAAGGTGTTCTGGGCTGGAGTCCATGGGTGGGCTGAAGAGGTGATGTCAAGAATTACAGCTACTTTATGTGAATTAAACTGGCCGCTAAAATGTGTAAGGGAGGTTTAGTGCAGCCGAGGTGCTTGGATGAGGGCAGTTTTTATAGGGACGGTGTGTGTGTGTGGGGGGGGGAGGATGCCCATAGGTGGCCTCTACCAGTAGACTATCAGTGGAGAAAAATCTTCCAAATCCCAGTAAATACCTAGTCAGTAAGACAGATTTTCATGACAATTTTGAAGGTCGCCGTATGTCTGCCGCCAGTGGGTGGAGGTGAATCAGCTGGTGAACTCCGGCCGCGTGTGCATTGAGAATTTTCTACGCCTCCTCCTCCACGCTGTTAAAACGCTTCCATTCTTTGCGACTTCACGTCGAGAGAAGAATTTGCCCTGCCCCTCTACCTGCTAAATACCAACTGAGAAGAGAAAAAGGGGCCCGGGAGGCGACCCCTTTCAGAAAGAATGTCCCTAGATCAACTCGACTGAATTATTAACTTGTTCAGGGAAAGGGTCAACAATGCCTTACCTTCCTGCCGGTGCTGAGATCAATCGCTCTACCCCAGGTAGCCTCTTGTTCGAAGCTTAGGGACTCAGGTCCTACCCTTCTCAAGCTCAGAAGCCCTGCAAACCGGTCTTTCCAAGAACCCCTCTGGCCCACGTGCAACCACACACACATCACTAAAACTTTAGCCTAAACTGTGTCCAGGGATGACAGAAGCACTAAACAAAGAGAATCCTCATCGAGATCCCCTGGGCTGCCCCCTTCCCAATTTCCATTAACCAACCTTCTTGCAGGATCATTCTCTAACCCCTAATGTTTTGAGTTCAAGGACATTTTTTTTTTTAATCTTCCTCTTGACCGAAGTGGAAGAATCCAACAGAATCTACATCCCCTGCCCCTCGTTCCTAATAGTGGAAAGGAAAAAAAAAATCAACTCCTGCAGATCTCTCTTCCTTCCAGAATGGCAAGGGCATACTTAATTCCTAAAAGTGAATCTGCTTAGTGCCCAAGGGATGGGCTTGGTAGTTAGTTGGTGGGTTCGGTTAGGGACGCCAAAACAAAGGTGAATCCGGTCGCCTGCAATCAGAAATCCCGCTGATAACCAAATTCTGGGCGGGAGGTGTCCCAGCTTCAACTGGGGGCTGGCAACTGGTAGACCACCCCCAGCCTTCTAGACGCAAAAAAAAAAAAAAAAAAATAGGGAAAAGAGAGCAACCTCCGACAGTGAACTCATGGACGTAACCCTTTTCGGAGGATCAACTTTTGGTCTTAGGTTGGTCCCTCTACATCCACGCCCCAATCCGCCCCCCGCCCCGTTTCCCCCCAAAGTGAATACACGCGTGGAAATGAATGAATCAAGATAGCATTTTAATTCCTTCAAAGTCTGTCATATCACCTTTTCTGCCATCTGCCAGAAACTCAACTTTCGCTAAGTGTCTACTTTCAGAAAATTATTAAGGACAGCTTTCCCTCTGCGTTTGTCTTGGTGACAGTCTTTGGGAGTGATTAACAGCACAATTACTGCTTCAGAAAAATTTTCTTGAATGGCTTAACTAAATACCATCTCCAAAATATAGATACCCCAAAGTATTAGTTGATCTGTTTTCAGTTTTGTTTTATTCACTTTGTGTTGCAAATATTTTAATTAGAAAATCCCCCCCACAGTGTGGATGCATTTCGGTACTCTGCTGTCAGGTGTGGAACTCAAGCCCGCTGATTAGCCAGAGGCTCCTTTGTTGATTTCAGAAATCACCAGACAAGAAAAAATAATTATCTTGTTATCTTTTCCCAACTGTCTACTATTCACTTATATCTGATATGATGTCGTTGTACAAAATCCTATCCAAAAATATAAATAAGAAATTTTAAGTTAAAAAGATAATAATGGTAGCAGAAATATGTTTTAATTTTAAGTGACTTATAGATTTTATGTACCACATACTCCAATACATGAAATGTATCAAAAGTGTATAGCTTACCATTTAGGTATAATTATAAAGCAATTATATGCTAATGATAGCACCATTTAACACTACAAAATAATTCCATAAAGAAAAAATTGAAGTACTATTTTTAATACAGATAAAATCCTCCTTCCAAGAAAATAATTGGCAGGCTTAAAATAATATCCAAGGGTGCTTTTATAAAGAAAATAGAACAAAATCTGAAGCAACATGAGCCAAAATTATATCAAGCAGATTGGTCCATAACCAGGTTGTTATGTGTTAATACTATCAGAAAAATATTCTTATGTTTTGCATATCCTCGTTTTAGGTGCATAAAACAAACATTTTTAAAGGTGTGAATTTAAATGTGTATGTTACTAGTTTGACATCTTCAATCATACCATACAGCAAGAAATCAAACCTGAATACATCATGGACAATGCTTAAGGAACAACTATGTGGTTTGATGATATTGTATGTTGTCTAAATGTCTGTGTCAAGGAAATATATCAATATAACTAGAGAATATCAACTCATATTTTATAAGAATCAATGTGAAGTGGAAGTATAACAATCTTTCTGTTTTCTGCAATGTCCAGTTAAGAGTCTCTTATCAAAATATCATAATAAAGATAAAATTCACATGTTTAACAAATATGTAGCTATCACTCTGCTTTCAGAGTTGAGTCTAATTATAAAAACACTGAACTTTATATGATGTGTGCTCTCACTAGATGTAGCTAAGTTCATACTTTCCAATATTTTAAGAATCCCCTGCCTTTCCCCCAAATATTGTAATAGCCCAGGAAAATCCCTGCACCTTGAACTATAATGCTGTCAGAAATTAGATGTTTACTCATAACTGGTCAGTAGGATTGCCAACTTTCACTTAAATACCAGGACTGAAATTATTTTATGCCTTATTTCACAATGAAGTAGAATGTGCTATTTAATATTCTTGACCTGGTTTTAGGATTTCTTGTACACTCTCCTATTTATGAGCTGCACAGACATTTGGTAATAATGTAAACTATATATAGGTTCACTGAGTTTTTCTCATATGGTCTATGGAAAATTATAAATCAGGTCTTTTAGACTTGACATACTGTGATTAGGCTGTCCCAAATATCACATGATGTGCTTCTGCATAGGCCTGTACCCAAGCCAAAGCAGATCTGCTGATGTGACTTTGGATAGGTTGTGCCAGGGCAATTTTTTTTATTATACCAGCAATGAGGAAGAAATATGAGTATAGCACTCAAAGTGGAGGAAAATGTAAGTAGATTTTAAAAATCACACTTTTAAATGTGGTGGTGTAGAAAGAATTGAGTGTAGGTAACTTTATCAGCCATCAAAAGAGAGGATGTTAGTAGATATTCAGCTAAGATGAGAAAAGTATTCAATTTTGAAAAGAGAAAGCTTATTGAGAAAAAGAAAGCAGGGGAAATGTCAAGAGGGACCAAAAAAAAAAAAAAAAAAAAGGAATGGGGCTTCGTGACCCAGTTCATCCTGATAAAAGATGTATTTAAAAAGCAAAACTCAGATGTGGCACAGATAGTAGATTGAGGATGGGGAAAAGCAGACTTTATATTTTTTTTAATCTGAAATTTACAATTTGAAAAATTGGATTTAAGGAAATTGGGGGGGTAAGAAACATAGATTATTTTGTAATGATTTTTATAACTTTTCTTGTATATTTAAATATATTAAACTAGAATGTTTTCCAAAGGCAAGCTTACACTATATCGATACAGAAAAAAAAATGCAAAATGAAAGTACTAGAAATACCCTAATATGGATCCTATTTTTTTTTTTTTATGTAACTAAGCTGATTTAACAATAGGATTCAGGACTCAGAAAG